TGTTATGTTGATATGCAGAATATCAGTCCCTGAACTCAGGTTTCTTCTGCAAGTTTTTCATCATTCAGTTTTCCTTTTGATTGGACGCCAGCTGAGTTCAGGACGCCTGGCTGTTTACCTTGTCCTTAGATGTACACTTAGGTTTACTCCTTTATTGTTGTGACTTTATAAGCTTCACTATGTACTATTTATATTTTCTTTTTCCAATTTGCTCTGTGCTATTTATAAAGGGCAGGCAGGAAGCGTGGTCAGAGCCAGCAGCTGTGAGGAGCCGTGACCCGGCCAGAGAATGTGGGTGGGATCATTTTGTTGCTCCATTTGGCTTCACCACGCCTATGGACCCTCTTCATCACTTTCATCCATCCTCATCTTCACTGAATCCTTCATCCTAGGGGGTGACATTCCTCAATCCATACCACACACGATCTTTTAAAACATGAGCCTGCCCACGTGGCTCACTTGTTTACTCTTGTGACATGAGAGATAAAAGCAATAATGATGACCATAACCATGACCACCATCTGTATACACTGAGTGATGGTGTGTGACACGCCTTCCACTAATTGCTTCATCAGGTACCCAACAGCGTACTGAGGAAGCTGTTCCCATTTTTCAGACAAGGAAAGTTGAGGGCCAGAAAAATTAGCAACCTGGAATAAGTTCCTATAACAACCTAGTGGCATTACTGGGCACCTAGGTCCTTACCCGCTGGGCTGCACTGCTGAGCTCTACCTGGAACAGCTTACCAAGCTGAGGTGTCTGAGGTGTCTGCACCTCAGTGTCTGCCCAGTCACCCGTGGGGAAAAGGTGGAGCCGGGATGTAAGGTCCACTCAGTCCGATTCCAGAGTTATCTCCCTAATCCCCACTTCACTACCATCCTTGCGTAGTAAACAGTGCACATAAACATTCTTCGTAAGGTGGCATAAATGAAGGACTTTAATACTTCATGGACCTCTGGGATATTATTAACCTGGAAGAAGAAAGTGCCTAATGCGCCATTTATTCAGAAATTTAAAAATATTATCATACCAGAGATTAGATATGGCGGGGGGGGGGTGGTAGGAAGATAGTCTCCTATTTAAATCTATATCCAAAATTAATTGGACTTCTTTAACTGGTCGGCACATTCTTATATGTACATTTAAATTTATAATTGTGTGTGTGTGTATATTCCAATTTATATCACATGAGGCAAGTTTGTTGCCAGTTTCCAGACGAGAAAGTTGAGGTTCAAAGAGGCAGAAGCAACCTGCCTTAGCTTGTGGTCCCAGTGAGTGATGAACTGAGGGACGCAGACCCAGCTCCAGTTACAGCATCAAGCAGCTGCAAGGGCCCCTGGTGGGCGGCTGCCCCCCTCACTTGTCAGGACCAGAAACTGAGCAACCCCAGGGAGTTGCTGAAATTATCGTATTCTCCTATCATGTCCTCCTCCCTTAAGTCCGTGCCCCTGCCTCTGAGCCCCTGCCCTGCCCAGTGTCCAGGCACCAGCGCCAGGAGGACAGGAGTAAGTTCCAAAGCAGAGAGGCCTAAATGCGGGCACATTCCTCCACTGCAAGAAAGACTGATGAAAACCCACCCCAGCTTGCAAAGCACACAGGCTTGGGTGGAAGAGTATTAATCATGGTTCCAGATTCTTCTAAATTATTTATTTGGGGGCACCTTTTTCCTTGGGCCTTGGTTTTACCACATATAGGCAGAGACACTCACATTCCCCCCAAGGGTCTTGCCCCTCAGCCAGCCCGAGTCCCAGAGGCTGTCATGCTTGTGTCCTGTCTGCGTTTATTGACCGAGTACACACTCATTGTGTTAGTAACAGAGGGCGTAGGGCAGAAGTCGGAGGCCATAATAGTTCTGAGTTCAGGTTCTGGCTCCAATAACCAGGGTTTAAATCCTTGCTCGACCACTGATTCCATTTTTTTAATTGTATTATTTTTATTGAGGTAACATTGGTTTACAACATTGTACATGTTTTAGGGTAACAGACTTAGATCCCTTCAGATGTATGTTACTACGCCGCAGATACCACAAAACGCCCTAATCCTCCACCATAGGTCTGTTGGGGTCCTTCTCCCCTTTTCTCTTACCTTCTACCCTCCCCCTCTGGAAGCGGCAATTCTAACTCCTTTTTTTAATCTCAAACTAATGACTGAACTCTGAGCTCAACCCCCTCATCTATACAATGTCCATCTTAATAGTACCTACTTATTGGGCTATTGTGAATTAATACATTACCGGATAATAATTTGTATTAGTACAACATATAATATTGTGAATTAATATAATAAGTGAATTCCTGGTACATACTAAGTGCTCAATAAATGCTAGCCATCTATTAGAGTATGACACAAGGCCTACTCAGGCTGTGCTCATTCACCTGAAAATACAAGGTCTTTACCCACATCTTTCATATACACCCAACCCGCCTCATACCTTGTCTAGTACTTACTTACTAAATTGTGTCTTTGTCTCCTAATTGGGTTCCACTTCTTCTGAATATGAAAGATCTCTGGGCCTCCCTGGTGCCGCAGGTGGTTGAGCACCACACTGTGAAGCTGTCCACAGCCTCTGCAGTGCGGGTTCAATCCCGGCCGGCCAGCCGGCAAGAATCCCACATGGCGCAGCAGACTTCTCCTGCAGTGCCCGCTGCTCCCCTCAGCAGTGTATTTCGTCAGTGTGCCTGTTCTGTCTCTGGTGAATCCTCTCACCCTCCTGCGCATCTGGCCTGTACCCCAGTTCTTGTATCAGTAAATATTTTTTTTTTTTTTAAAGATCTCTGCCAGGTCCTGGCCAGCTCTTGCTTGGATTCTCCCAAGTCAAACTTCCTGTGTATAAATCCCTGCCCTATAACTGGGAGGGCTGGTTAACCTTCAGCAAGTTACTTAACCTCTCTGAACATCAGCTTCCTCATATGAATAATAATTCCTCCTCCACTGAGATTATGTTAGAACATTTAGGAAAATCACCTAGGAAGATACCCCACACTTAATATGAATTTAAAAAAGTAAGTTACACACTCTGATTTAGTGTCCCACTTTAAGTCTGTGCTTTGTCCATACTTCATGATGAAACACTGGTTCTGAAGACAAATCAGAGCAGTGGCTTTTATCTCCACCAGATAGGAAGGTTCTGGAGAGTTGTGGGCATTCAGGAGACAAGACTCACCTTCATGGTTTAGGGTCATGTTTGCTGCTTGTGTTTTAGTTGTCCCTACAAAGAAAGAAGCCCCCAATGCTAGACTCAGCTATTTGGGGTACTTCTTCTAGATCTTGACTTTTTATCATGATTTTTTACTGTCTTCACAAATGGGTTTGTCTAAAGAATTTACTTCTTTTGTCTCAATGTACACATATATACACTTATACATATGCATGCACATATACACACAAATAAATGTGTTTGTTTCCTTTTATATGTATACACACGTGCTCCTTTTTATTTTAAACATTAAGATGACATTGAATTTATAGGTTTGTGTTATAATACAGTTTTAAGTATTACATCTTACTTAATATAACATATAAATTTGCTCATTATCAACTGTTTTAATCCAATTTCATGTTCCCTTGTACATGCCCACCACAGTTTAATGATTTCTCCTACTGTTAAAAACACTCAGCTACCATTTATTTATTTTCATAAGTAAAGCTTCAGTGAATATTCCTTAATTGAAATTCCAGATACTGTTTCTGATAATTTCCCTAAGATCAACAGAAGAAATGAGTGAAATTCTGCAACATGTTGGCCAATTTACTGTCCAGAAATATAGTTAAGGATCTCTATAACACCAACGTTTCACATAAAAACCCAGTTATCTTTGAGGCTTTGTTTACACTTCTGCTTATTTTTGTTTACACTTCTGCAATATTCACTTTCATTTTCTTTTCCCTTTTTGTACTTTTGCTTTCCACATTCAATTCTTTAATCCAGTGGCATTTATCTCAGCTTTAAGTATCAGGTGATCACCCACCATTTCTTTTCCCATAGTTGACCAGTTATTCTCTTACTGACAATTATTTTCCCACTGAATTATTGAGCTGTTTATATCACCTATGAACTCGTGATGTTTTCCATTGTCTGTTGCTAGAAGGTATACTCAGAGTTATTCCATGCATTTGTGAGTTTTCTCTACCCTTGCAGAATTTTAGTTATTGTACCATGCTGGTACCTATTAGCTTCTGCCTGGGAAAAGTGCCCCTCTTAGTGCTTTAGTAAAAATTTCTTTGACATACTAACTCATAAATCCTTTCAGATACACCTTTAAATCATCTTTCTAAATTCCCCTTGAGATCTTGACTGTAATAATATTAAAGCTGTAAAGCAATCTGGGTCATATTTACATAGTTAACAGAAGGCAGCACACCTTTACAGGAAATGTTTCCTTCTTTTATCCTTTGTAAAGTCATGTGCTTTAGTTTTCCCCCAGCTTTCATACATTTGTTATCATTATTTTCCAGCATCTTCACTGGTGTTTTATGCTGTCATTGCTATTGTGAGTAAGCTCAGAGCATCACCAGGTCTTGTAAATGGTGATCTGAGCTGCATAGAAAAGTTATTGGTCCATTCATTTATCTTTGCATCAAATACCTAGCGCTCAGGCCTCTTAACAACCAAGTAAGCAAATAAATGTGTAAGTGTAACTTGTGATAAATGGATGCATGCAGGGAAAAGGAATGCAGGGAAGCCTGCCCAGCCCTTCAAAGGCCAGAACTCCAGCCAGCAAAGAGAAGAGATGTGAGGAGAAATGAGGAGTGAGGTAGAATGAGAAGCCCCCACCTTACTTCAGGCTTCCAGTTCACGTTCAAAACCAAATGCGGGATGGAAGAAGTTTTCAGTTGGTTGAGTTAAAGGGATGACATTTGATCTAGGTTATAAATGAAGGCCAGGTTCTGTTCACTGCAACCCAGCATTTGGATTGCTGCTGTAAGATTTGCCTTGGGAATATTTATTTATTCTTTCCTCTTTGCCTCCAAGCTGAACAGGCTGTTTGCTCTTGTTTTAGGTTGTGGCCCAGGCCGTGTTGTTCATGTGTATGAACACAGCTGGGATCTTCATCAGCTACCTGTCCGACCGGGCCCAGCGCCAAGCCTTCCTGGAGACGCGGAGGTGCGTGGAGGCCAGGCTGAGACTAGAGACGGAAAACCAAAGACAGGTACTGCTGGGAGGGGCTGTGTGTCCTGCTGATCGCCTGCAGTCTCCAAGTGAGATGGGCTTTTGTTTTCTCCCCAAACACATCCTCACTTGCAAGTATTCTCTCACAGTTTGTGTCCTTGGAGTTGAGAGTCTAAAGTAGTCATGTCAGGCTTGCAGGTCAAAGCAGGTCGGTCTTATTCTTCATACTTCATGACTTGTTCCCCACAGAAATAAAATTATTCTAGCCGCCAAGGGATTTTCAGTCACCCCTGATTGACAGCTCTTTGTAATCAAGGCCTTGAACCTGAAAACCATGAGCATTCTCATCTTTGACCTCCCTGTTTTGAAGCTATACATTTGTATTTCAAATAATTGGTCATTACATTGCAATTCAAATTGCAGTAAACGCTTAGAAAACTCTCATACATGTGTAGTTCCTAATTCTGCATCCTGCTTTCAGAAGAGATGATTGAACACAATATGTTTTCTGGAATATGACACTTTTTTTTTTTTACTCAAAGATCCTTTTTTTTTTGAAATTACATAATCATGAAATTTATTTCTTAATTCAGTCTTTTAAAAAAAAATTTATATAATTCTTACATCATTTTTTCATTTTTGCACAATGTATGCATTTTCATTTTGGTTATATTCCCCATACAATTGCATTCCCCCCTTATTTTGACTCTAGTCCTTCCTTTCCCTGCCCCCTCCCACCCCTCCAATATGATACTAAACCCAGGATAGGAGACACAGGAGGAAAAGCAGGTTGGATCAGCCTGGGGGCCGGGGGAGCCTGATTCTTATTTGAAGAGTTTAAAATAAGTGAGTTTCTGTACATTCTGGTTGGGTGGATGTTATAAGGATATAAAAAAAGCTTTGGTCTCAAATGATGTGTTTCCCCAAAATGAAATTAGCTTTCAAAGAATAATTTCCCCAATTAAAAATTATTCATATATTCAAAATTCATGCATACCTTTGCCTCTGAAAGCAATTTTCAAAAAGAAATAATAGTAATCTTTGAAACTTGCTTATAGAAACAAAATACAATCTCCTAAACTAATGTAAGAATTCTTGCTCTTGGGAGTTCTATGCTCAGTAGATATACGAGTCTACATTACTAGTTTCTTTTTTGTAAGTTATGTCTGTGTGCACACTTTTTGTGTTGAACTTCATGCAGTAACAGTCTGGGAAATTACAAAGAAAGTAGCTGCAAAAAACATTTTTCTTCATCTTAACTTGATCAAATCATCAGGAAAACATGAAGCTTTGAAGAGAGCGAAGGTGGGTCTGTGAGATCATGGATGAGGTGGACAGGTAGTCTACAAGTTGCCAAAACTCCATTCCTACTGTGGTAGGTCATTGGCAGGGGCATAGAAGAAACTATTGAATTTTCCAAATGAGGATGTCAAGAGATTCTGAATTAGGGCATTTCTAACTTGATGTGTAGAACAACTATGGAACCTAATAATAGATTCATGGTAATTGCCTTGAATATCCCTATAAAGTAATTTATAAAAATAACATTTAGAATGAAATCACCTTATACAATAAACATGAGTGTCTCCCAGTACCATGTATTGTGTTCCTTTGCAAAATACAGCATTTGCCTCACTGCCATGTCACTGTTTCCATGGATCTGCGCCAATTCAGAGAAAGCGTCTCTATTAATAATTTATTCAACTGTGCATGATGCCCTCTCACAACCAGAACTGCAATTGTTGATTAGTTGTCTGGGAAGCTCAGTCATTTTATCTAATGTTTACAATAAACTGGAAACACTGAAAATGATTGCCTATCAAACCCCTAAGTCTCCTATCTCCATTCTTTGAGTGTGTTGGAGCCACTGAGGATAACAATCTAAAATGGTGGAGGGATCTTCCAGGATCTCCTCTAATCTTTATTTTTTAAGGTAGTGGGAGGGGGAAGAAAATAATAATCTACAGAAGGGAAAACAAATGACCATTATGTTCTTCCTCTTTCCAACCACTTAAAAATAAAAAGATTAGAGAGGATGGAGGAAGATCCTTCCACCAGGTTGGGTTACTACATCACAGTGACTCCACAACATATGCAATGCCAAGTTCTCTAGGATTCTTTCTATATCACTCTTACCTTCTATGGACCTCTAAGCCTTCTAAGCCACCAAACTCTCAGCGCTAGGTTCCTCATCTATACATGGGTTGATATCTTTCTTTCAGCATCATGCTTGTTTTTAATGAAAAAATGTGATACAAATATAAAGCAATATAAAATATGTCAGTCACTCTCATTCTGCTCATGGATGAAGTACAAAAAAAGACTGTCTTTTGGTGGAAGAGTCTTTGTTCTGAGATTTAAGTAGGTCTATTGTAACCTATATTGCTCTGTGTTCACAATTATGATAGCGTGTTTTTGATATATCGACCACCCCCTTGGCCAGAACTACCTAACTCCCTTTCAATGCTAAAGTGATTTCCATTGACATTAGATCTGTGCTTCAGATTTCCATCATCTCAGAGAACTTCCTCAGTGATAGATGGACAAAGAAAGTCTAGGCTTTCAATTAAGACCATCTAGGATTAAAATCTTGGCTTAGTTACTTACTATTTCAGTGCACTAGAGCAAGTGCAAAGTCTTAGTTTCTCCATAGGTAGCATGGGAATACTAACACCCTTTCTGCAGAGTTCCCTTAATGATTAGAAATATTATGCATGGTGCTTTTCAAAGAATACCTTTAGCATGATTGTACGTAAATCTATAAGAGTCAGTCAACATGGCTCAGTCCCAAGAGGACTCATTTGAGAACAATTTATGGATTGGTTTGTTGCAGTTGAAATTCCATTGAAACTTATCCCTGATTATGGGAACTTAGGGAATTGATTCTCTTCTAGACACTTTGATTTTTGGGGTAAAGAAGATGAGCATAATATGTAAGATGAACATAATGATTATACCTTCCACCAAGGGTTGTGGTAAGGATTAAAGACCAGCAGTTCCTAGCCCAAGGAAAAGGGTATGCTCTAGATGCCATGATGATAATGACATTGATTTCCCTCTACTCTGCAGGAAAACCTTTCATGGCCACATTCCCTTCAAGATAAAATCCAAACTCTCAAATGTGACCCCACAGGCCTCCAAGTTCCAGCCCCTGACCTCTCTCCCCAGATTCTTCTTCACCCCCAAACCACTCACATGATAGCAAGTGACTATCTGCTACTGGAATTGCTAGCTTACTACTCTGTGCCTTGTAATATTTTCAACCTGGAAAGACCACCTTCCTCTTAACTATGTTCAGAGTAGTGTCTCTTCCCTAAAATCTCTACTCCAGTATCCCTTTCTCCATGAGGTTTGCTATACCTTCCCAAGTTGAATTAAAATGCTTTTGTAATCCCAGCATGCTTTCAAGTTAACTCTATTATAGAATCCATCATGCTTGATGAGATTTCCTAGTCTGCATTTTTCTCTTTTCATGACCAATAAGAACTATTTAATGTCAATTACTCTATTTTTCCAGCAAAGCACTGAAATATAAGATCTTCTGATTAATAATTATTTAACTGAGTTATATTGAATTCAAACTCTGGTTCCTGTTTCACATCTATCTATAGGAGGGTCATGTTGTAATGATTATCCTGTGTAAAAGTAAAGAGAGTTGTGGTCACTGAAGACTCCGATTCAATTCAGGAGAGACTGGGGCAGGCTAAGCACCTGTCTTAGACAGACCTGCTAGAGGAAGTTTCCATCTGCAAGTCACATCTTAGAAGATCTCTCTTTGGGGAGTGATTCTAATGATTGTAGTTTTTATAATCCCACTTCCCTCCCAAATGATCCAAGTGGCCCATATTTATTTTAATAATTAAAATGAACTAAGAGTTTTTCTTTCAGCTTTGAGAATTGCTGAAACCTACTTATGGTAATTGTGGCATTTCGAGGTGTTTCAGATGCTCTGGGGGCACTGGAATAAATTTTCTGATGATACCATATGTTGCAGCAGCAGGAAGATTATTATAAAATGCAGCAGATGTTTTAGCGTATTAAAGCAATTCTGTTTAACTTAAACATCTTTGTTAGACAATATTGGTATAAGCTTGTGGTTCGGACAAGACTGGGTGAGGAAGTTGGGGCTTCTATTGACATCTGAGTTGGTTGATTTGACATATGTTGCTGTCCTGTAGCCTTGAGTGTATTGTTTTTAATGGTACAGACCACTGTTAACCAGTAAGGCAGAATCTTGTCATTCATTTGTTCATTCATTCATGGAAGAATCAAAGGTGACCGGAAAGTAGAAAAATCTCAGGATATTTGTTTTTCCTGCTTGAGATGAGTCTTCTCTTTATACTTCAAAAAATCCTCTTGAGGGCCTCCCTGGTGGTGCAAGGGGTTAAGCACAGCACTATGAAGTAATCCGCAGCCTCTGCAGCACGAATTCGATCCCCGGCGAGCCAGGGAGCAACCAACATGGTGCAGCCGACCTCTCCAGTCTTGCCCGCTGCTCCCCTCAGCGGTGTATTTCAGTCAGCCTGCCTGTTCTGTTCCCTGCTCTGTCTCTGGTGAATCCTCTCACCCCCCGCACATCTGGCCCCAGCTCTTGTATAAATAAATCTTTAAAAAAAAAAATCCTCTTGAGCCTTGCACCATCAAGCCATTGTTCTACCCTTCTGCATTTCTTACATTTGATATCACTCATGTGCTGTCATGTTTATCCTTATCTGTTATTAATTCATATTAATCTTTATCTAATTTATACGAGAATTAATCCCACTTGGTCATGGTTTATAAATGTGCTTCTAATACTTTGCTTATGATTTTGTGCCTCAATATTCATCAAGGATATTGATTACAGTTTTATTGTGCTGTCTTGATCTGGGTTTGCTTATCAGGGTAATATTAGCCTGACAGAGTGAATTTGAAAGTGTTTGCTCCTCTTCAAATTTTTGGGAAAAGTTTAAGGAGGCTTTGTATGAATTTTGTTTTAAATATTGGTAGAATTCACCAGTCATCTGGTTCCGGGCTTTTCTTTCTTAGATTTTTGATTAC